GGAAGTGTTTAATGGCTCATACTTTGGAGCACGGGAAAATTGATTTAATTTCCTTCATGGCATAGAAAAAATTAGCACGTGCTCTCCCTTTTCCCCCCATCCTCTCCTTAGAGCCTTGGATAACAGAATTCACTTCCAAGCATATCATATGAGAAGGAAGAGAAATTCTTTATTTTATCAGAATAATTAGAGCCATTTTTGGATCTGCTATACAGTGGAGAAATGGCGTTCCCTGTATCTTTTGGAAAAGTAGGAGATGTAATAGGGTCTTTCACATCATATTCTGACTAAGCCAGCATTTTTTCCAGCCCATTTCTCCCCCAAATCAATAATAAATTAATAAATAAATCATTGCAAATAAAATCTTCTGAGATTTAATTTAAGACCTAGTTGTGGCACCACAAGTCCCCTAAGCAGTGTTGTCTAGACTGCACTAAAATAAGTTAGCATGAAATATGGCCCATGTATAAGTGATAAAATATAAATGTTCTCCTTCTGCAGCAATGAGTATATATCTATGAGTATAAAACAAATCACCCAGAATCCACAGCTTGGAAATAATTGTTGCTAAGATTTTCATTTATAACCTTCTCGTCTTTATGTATAGTTGCATGTGTTTGTATAATTTAATAATAAGTAATTTGGTTTATGCCCTACATATACTAGTAAACAATATCATTTTAAGATTTTTTTTGCTAATTTTTAGAAAGAGCAGAAGGCAGAGGAAGGGAGAGAGAAACATTGATGCAAGAGCAAAACACCAATTGGCCACTCTGACTGGGGATCAAGGCTGGACCCAGGCATGTGCCCTGCCTGGAAATTGAACCAGCAATCCTTCAGTGCATGGGACTGAAGGATTGCTCAATCAATTGAGCCATACTTTCCAGGGCTAAACCATATCTTTGAGTTTACTTTATATCCCAAATATTAAAAAAAACAAACAAACAAAAAAACCCCCACAGATTTCCTTATTACTGCCTGATATTTCCGAATATAGATATACACAATATATTTAATTTATCATCTAATTTATTTTTCTTTGTTTAAAAATATATTTTTATTAAATTCAGGTAGGAAGGGAAAAGGAGAGAGAGATGGAAACATCAATGATTAGAGGGAACTCTTGACTGGCTGCTTCCGGCATGCCTCCCACTTGGGATTGAGCCAGCAACCCAGGCATGTGCCCTGAGAGGGAATCAAACTGTGACCTACTGGTTCATAGGTCAATGCTTAACCACTAAGCCATGCAGTTTGGGCTCATCTAATTTATTTTTAATCCCTTAAAATAAGTTTAATGAAATCATTAAAGATTTAAAATTTAGCTTTCCTAAGTTATTTATTAAAACATAAAAATCCCCTGAATTGATATATTTACTGAAATTCACTAGTATTTGTTTTTCAACTATTTTTTCACGTGCTTGTTGAGTATGTGCCATCTACACCTCCTCTGTGAGAGGTACAAAGAAAATCTGCTTTGAGCCAAGATTTTGCACAGTTTGTGTTGAGCGTTTTCCTACAGGAAACTCGGGCCTGCTTGGAAACTGAGTTGTCAATCTACACTGACAGCTGTCTCCTCAGGCCAGCAGTGGCTGACCCAGTCAAATTGGACTCTTAACAGCATTTGCAGAAAAAACAGTGATACTTGCTGAAGAATTCCTACTGTCATTGTTATTTTGATTTAGGGTAGGAAAAAAAGAGGAGGGGAGGGCAGTTTATCAGAGGGACTAGAAATCAGAAAAATTATTTTAGAAACAGTGCATATTTCCAAGTAATCCCCACTGAGAACAGGTGTTGAAGCCTAGAAAATAAGTCTGACTCTACAGTTTATCTGTATGTTTACTCGGCCAATTGCTTCCTGAGCATCATAAAAAACCAGTTGACATTGAAATACAGTATTGGTCTTCAAAATCCCAAGATCTGGTCTTTGCTATTTCCTTTGCTCCTTTTTATTAGGGGGCTTAATACTAATTGATTGATCCCCCTGAACTTCAAGCGACCTCATTGATCAAATGGAATTTGGGGGGGAAACTAAAGAAAATACATGAACTAGATATAATGTATTAATTTCAGAATAAAGAATATTACACAACTTAGGTAATTTGCATTATGGATATGAATACCTTAGGTGAGAAAACCTCATCTTTTCAAATGAGTAAATTCCTTAAACTATTTCAAAAGTTCCCAAATCTTTTTTGAGAATGGGATAATTTTCATTATCCTAAAATCTAGAAAATGAGAGAGAAAGAGAGAGAGAGAGAGAGAGAGAGAGAGAGAGAGAGAGAGAGAGAGAGAGAGAGAGAGAGAGAAGAAAATGTTAGTAGAAAACCTAGGAGTGGGAGTTGAAGGGTACCCCATATCCCTGGTTCAGAAGATAGATGGGTAGGTGAGAATCCTATTGTCTGTTGACTGTGTTACAGTCAACAGACAATAGGATTGTCTAATCTCACTAAGGACACCCACTTGGTGATCTGACAAGTGAAGCTTTGAAATCTATTGGTGGGTCCTCTCTGTTCTAGTACACCTGCTCTAGGTTCTTAAACAATTGTTGCCAAACTTTTCACTAACTCCTTTTTTTCCATGGTGATGTTAAATCAGGTCTGACCCAGAACCTGGGTGACCAACTCATTCCCGTTTTCTCAGGACTAGCACTTGAAAGATCCACATCCTGGGAACCCTCTCAGTCGTAGGCAAACTAGGGTGGTTGGTACCAGGCCGAAGCTTGGAGTAATGTCTAGATGCCATAATAATAATAATAATAATAAATAATAATAATAATAATAATAGCAGAGTAGATGGCTTCCTGTGTGAAAGTAAGCTTTCTAGAATGATGTGCATATTTGCCCTCTCTGAAATACACAGAAATAGGCCACTCCTACTTCTCGGTAGATTGGCATGTGTGCCACATAGCTCAGTGGTGGAGGAGTCCAACTTAACCTTGAGCTCATCCTTTGATTCAAAGATCTTTTCATTCCCTCATACTGCTTAGTTTGCCTTTATATGAAATATAAACTGAATTGAGATTGGTGAAGACAGTTGGAAACAAAGCATAAGAAAATTAAATTTTGGGGCTATACAGAGGACAGAATTATTAAAGAGGAGAAGCTCTAGAACAGACACAGCATCAAATTACACTCTTAAATGCAAGATAAGATTATCTTATTTGACAAATATTCTATTGTGCATCACTCCTGCTAGAATATGGTGCATGAAGTATCAATTGATAAATTTGACTCTGAACTGTTTTTTTAGGGTCCAGTTTAGAGGGAAGTAAATTGTGCTTCAAGAGTCAAAATTCATTCAGATTGCAAACATTTTATATGTTTTCTGTTGTCATCAAAAACAACAGGCAGCTATAAATCCTCAAAAATTGATAAGGATGCAAGAAACTTTGGAAGCAGAATCCAATTTCCTTCAGGAGAGTGGATAGAAATCCTTTCCCATGCAGGTCAACTGCATATTTGTAGCTTCTTATTAGAATTTCTAACTCACAGCAGAATGACCCTGGGTGACTGCCAGGATGGCAAGGCCCACATTTGAGCTTTAGTTTCACATCGTGATTTATGACTAAATCTGGCAATGAACTTTTAAAAGAAGTATTATTTTTCTAAGTCCTTATTTCTCTTAGAGGATAATACCATTGTTTCATCCAAGCTGGTTAAAACATTCTTGCCTGATGAAATCTGAGTAGAGAGGAAAATACTTTCTTGAGATATTGTTCCACTGTAGGCATTTCTTGAATTAAAGTGTCATTTAGCAAATATTTATTTCTATATCAGTTATTTAATCTAAAAAAAGTTTACACAAAAGTTACTTGAAAGCTTGGAGGGTTAATTAAGTGGTTGCTTATCTTTTTATTGAGCTTCCATATTTGAGCTTTTCCTTGAATGGCATTCAGCTGCCCTCCAAATCACAGAGGGGAAGAACAAGCAGAAAGTACTCCTGCATGACATTATAACTGCTGGGCTATGTGACAATTTACATTTCTTTGTCTTCATCAAAATATTTGGAACAGAAATTTTCCCCTTAATTAAATTAAATTAAATATAAAATAGATGATTGAAGTCTAGAAAATACAAATCTCTTTGCTTAATAAGAAGTATGAAAAGAGTCCTTAGGGATAGCAAAAGGAACATTGGTTTTGGAAACAAAGGATTTGGTTTGGAGTCCTACCTTTATTGTAACTGGTTATCTCACCTTCAGTAAATCATTTGGTGCCTCTGAAATTCATCACCAGAGATAATAATCTGATGTTATTTTGAAGCTAAAAGCAACGTGAATGGTGTAAGGCATTAAGAAGTTGTTATTATTATTATTTTTTTTATCTTAGTAAACATCAAGTTGGGTTCATTTTTTTTCTGGACCAAAAATAACTCTAGTTCACAATGGAATGTGTTAAATTAATAATTGGGAATGGAATCTCAAAATAGCGATAAATGCCTTTTCAGTTTAGAGAAGCAATGCGTGCTCAGTGGTGTCTTTTGGTATTAAAAATATATTTTCAACATCAATGTTAGCAAGTATAAGTTGAAAATAACATGTCACAGTAAACAGAAGTAACTTAGAGTAAAATTAGCATGACTTTGTCAATTGGTACAGTCCATATTACTGAAATATTTGCTATCACTTGGACAAATCATTTATTTATTGGTGATTTCTACTTATGACACAAATATTCATTCATTCATTCATTCATTCATTCAATGACCATTCAATATTTGTTTCAGAGTTTGGCTTCAATTTGATTAGCAGATCACTCCCTATCTCAAGAGTTTATTTAAAAAAATATTTCTTTCTTTTGAAGGAATCATATCCTGAACTATCAGAATTTTCAGTTGTATCCCAAGTTCAAAAACAAAGGCTGGCATAGATTATTTTTCTGCTTTCAATAAACTCTTGGATTTTTGAGCTTTACAATGATCATGAGATTCTTCCACCTTCAGAGACTGAGGACAAGTGTACTAACCTGTCTTGTACTTCTCTCTGGTTGTTTGCCTCCACAGCAACCCCCCTGAGCTCACTTAAGCCTCCCAGGGTGGACACTGCTCCGGTGGTCACATCGCCCTATCAAAGAAGAGATTCAGACAGATATTGTGGGCTCTGTGCAGCCTGGTTTAATAATCCCCTGATGGCCCAGCAACATTATGATGGGAAGAAACACAAAAAGAATGCGGCAAGAGTTGCTTTATTAGAACAACTTGGGACAACTCTGGACATGGGGGAACTAAGAGGTAAGAGAAACTAATTTCTGCCCCAGAACTGAGCTTTCAGAGAAAGGTTTGTTTTCACAAATTGGCATGATTATTCTTACTAAGTAGGCTCATCCAAAGGAATAGGAGAAAAAGGAAATGAGCAGAAAATTAGCTCAATTTTTGTGATCTCCTTTGTTTCAAAGAGTTTATTTCCCTATTTTTATTGACTATTTTGCAGATCAAAGTCACCCATCCATAAACCAGATATTTTTCTTCTACTTTATATTTAAACACCTTCTCTAATGAATACTTCGTATATGAGCAGTATGAGAGAAAATGCTAAAAAAGCCAAATAGCATGATCTTATTTTAAACTTTTGTGCTATTATGAATTTGGCCCAAACAGGACAATACAATGACTTCCTTTGATGGCTTAAAGCAAACCCAAGCCCCTTTAATAGAAATATCCTGGAAACTGATGCAAGTTGGTGCCGCATGCCATGTTATAGTCAATACCAGCTATCCCACCCAATTTTGACAGGTATTTTCTTAATTGATGGAAGCCATACAACCTTCAAAGTTCATTTAAGTTTTCCCAGCAGCTGTTGGGCAGAAACCTGGAAGCTGTAGGGTGAAGACTAGTCCTATGGATTTCTTAGGAGGCCATATATCAAACTGTGGAGCTTTATAGAATATTTCATTATCAATAACCATTTAAGCATTTTTGATCATCTAAACATTTTTAATCAGCTTAATGTTGACAGTGTAGAACACAATCACATATATGTGAAACATTATATATGTGAAGGGTGCTATTGACAATATATGTCAGATATTGTTTGGGTGTGATAAGCTTTTATGGATTGGCTAGGGCATGGTCATAGCTGTAATAACATTTACAAATCAATTTTCCAAATGTAACCTAGATTGAAATTGGGTTCTGTGTGTAAAGCCTACAATTCTGATTATCCCTCAACCATGCTATGAGCCTCCAAGAGGGATAATTGTAGTCAGGAAATAATCCGTTACAATTCTAGACCAAGTAAGTAGAGCAGAAGTCATGCTGTGTGAGCTGAAAGGAGGGACAGGGCACTTTTAATGATGCTGGTGAGGAACACTCTCCCAAGGAAAGGGACTTCATTTGGAACTAGAAATGTGGATAGCATTTCAGCAGAATTCCGTCTGAGCAGAATTGTATATGTGTAGGTAAAGAGGCAGGGAAAGAGAAGCAGTTAGCTGGCAAATAAGCATGTTATTCTGAATCCTCTGTTGCTGCATGTATTTAAGGTTGGAAGTCCATTAGTACATATACAGAACTTGAGTAGGAACTGATTATTCCAAGATATGTGTTTAAAAATGACAAAGAAGAGCAAACAATACTTTACTTTTGTGTATGTTTTCTAGCTGAAGAAAAGTAACATGGGCCTTAGTGTTTTTTCTACGTTGAATAATCTCATTGCAGAAACTTTTCCATTGCTGTTGTTACTGCTTTTCATTGGGGGATTTCTTATGTTCTCAGTCTAAGTCTCTCCATAGCTGAAGGCCTGCCCACCACTCACTGTTCCTGGCAGATAACAAGCTGGCTCAGTCACTCTTTCACGGCAGGGCACTGAAGGAGAAAATGAGGGCTTTATGCGTGTTCTGTGCCAGATAGTATGACTTAGAGAAGAGTTATTCCTAGAACATATTCTTGTCAATTTTGAATTATCAGAGCTGCTTCTTTTATGTACAACCACATCTTAATGACTTGGGTGCCTGAATTCTGTTACCTTTTATAAAGAAGACAGAAAGAGCTGCACTTTGACTTGGAAACTCAATGTGACTGTGACTTGGTACCACATGAAATGCAATCAGCATTGAACACAGTGTCCTTGAAACCAACCCTCTCACCTACCCCAGGTGACATCTTGATATATATTTATTTATTTGGGCATTAAGTATTACAAAAGCTTGAGAAAGAAAACAATGATGATAACTCAGCACATTTTAACACACACACACACACACACACACATCCCTGTTTCTGGAGTGTTTCTAATACATGACTAATCAATTAATCAGGACAAAAGTGCTAACCAGTTAATAAAGGCATAACCATAACTTTTTAGAAAATGGTTTCAAGCAGTTGGACATCATATGGCACTATTACAGACTTTCTTTCTCAGTGTGTCTCAATTTTTTAAACAATACATTTACTTGTGTATTATCGTTTTCTTTATAATCTATTTTAACCCTACTTTCCCCTATAGATTTTTTATCAACTTGAAAGTAGGCATTTCAATCTGTTTTGCTCACTGATGTGGTCAAAACACCTAGAAATGTGACAGCCACATAGTAGGTACTCAATAATTGCTGAATAAGTCACCAAATAACCCCCCCAAAAAACCAACCAAACAAATAAACAACAAAATAAAAACTTCAAAATTTAAAAGTCACCTAAAATTCTACATTCTTAATATGGCAATCATTTTTATTTCTAAAAGGATCCTGACTAAATAATTTTTACAGGGAATTGTTTATTATATTTCTCTAATTTAAAAAAATGTATATTTTACATATTGTCAAATGAGAAGGCATTAAGTGTTACAGTTCAGTGAGTTATAACAATTCAAACACCTGTGTAATCATACCCCTGTCAAGATACACAGCTTCTCCAACTTGAGAAAATCTCCATGTTCCCCTTTCCAGTCAATCTTAGCCTCCCACTTCAGGGAACCACTTTTCTGATTTTTTTCACCATCGATTGGTTTTGACTTTTCTAAAACCTCATTGATATGGAAGCAGAAAGTATGTATTTTTTGTGTGTGTGTGTGTGTGTGTGTGTGTATCTAACATCTTTTGCATAGCTTATTGTTTTTGAAATGTATCCACTTGGTGCACATAAAGCAGAGTATCCACTTTCTCTTTATTACAGAGTATATTCTATCCCAATTCCCAAATTCCACAGTTTTAATATCCATTCTCCTCTTGATTTTTTTTTTTGGGGGGGGTACTATTTAGAATAAAACTTTCATGAACATTCCTTTTATTTTTTCTTGGTAAATCCCTAGGAGTAGAATTTGTGGGCCATAAGTTGGGTGTTTTTAACTATATAAGAAACTGCCAAAAAATTTTTTCAAAGTAGCTTCATTATTTTGCATTCTTGAAACGAACAGTAGTTTCCCCTTATCCACAGTTTCACTTTCCCTGGTTTCAGTTACCCATAGTAAGCCATGGTCTGAAAACATTAAATGGAAGATTCCAGAAACAATTCCTAAGTTTTAAATTACGCGCTACCCTGAGTACCATGATGGAATCTTGTGCAATCCTGCTCAGTCCTGAATGGGACATGACTCATCTCTTTGTTTAGCATGTCCGTCCTGTGTATGCTCCCCAACTCCCTTAGTCACTTCATAGCCATCTAGGTTATCAGATCGACTATAGTGCTTGCATTCAAGTAACCCTTATTTTACTTAATAATGGCCTCACAGCCTTTTGCATAACTTTTATTACAGTATATTTTTCTAATTGTTTAATTTTATTATTACTTACTAGATGCCCTTTGCAGGAAAATTCCTGCAAAAGGGCTTCCAGCTGCAATCGCTGCCCTGCCTGCCTTCCTTCCTTCCCAGCTCCCTGCTTGCTTGCTTCTCCACAGCTTCGCTCCCTTCTACAGCGCTTGGCTTCTTTGTATGCTGTCTTCAGTCTTTGCCCTGGCCTGGATATGCAAATTAACCACCATCTTGGTTGGGTTAATTTGCATGCTCACCCTGATTGGCTGGTGGGCGGGGTTTTTGGCATAGTGAAGGTGTGATTAATTTGCATGTTTCTCTTTTATTAGGTGGATTGTTGTTAACCTCTTATTTTGCCTAATTTATAATTAAACTTTATCATAGGTATGTACACACATCTAGGGTTGTGTGTGTGTGTAGGTGCTACCTGTGGTTGTAAGCACCCACTGGAGGTCCTTGGAACATTATTTCCTACAGATAAGAGGAAACTACTCTTTACGCATTCCATATTCTCACCAACATTTCTATTCGTCAGTCTTTATACTTTGGCCACTCTCCTGAGCATAGGAGAGTATTTAATTATTGCTTTAATTTGTGTTTCCATATTGACCAACATGTGAAGCACTTTTAAAAACGTGCTTATTGGTCATTTGTCTATATTCCACTGAGAAGTATTTATTCATGTCTTTTGTCTTTATTTTTCAAAATTTGGTTGATTGCCTTTTTTATTATTGAGTAGTAAGTAGAAGATTTTCACATATTATCAATATAATTCTTTGTCAGATATATGCATTGCTAATATTTTTTTCCTAGATGGTGACTTGGCTCTTTATTTTCTTAAAGAATATATGGTGAGCAGACATTTAAATTATGGAAGCGTACTTTATCTCCTTATTTCTCTTGTGATTATTGTTTAGGTGCCCCATCTAAAAAATCTTTGTCTACACCCAGGATCAAAGGCATTTTATATGTTCTCTTCTATAAGTTTTATTATTTTTCTTTTACATATATGATTATGACATATCTCAAATTAGTTTTTTTAACTTTATTTTATTGGTTTATACTATTACAAATATCCTTTTTCCCCCCTTCCCTCCTTTGCCCACTTCCACTCAGCCCTAGCCCCTTCTCCACTCCCTCCCTCTGGCCAACACCACACTGTTATGCATGTATATTCCTTGGCTAATCCCTTCACATTCTTTCACCCACTCTCCTCCCACATTAAGTTTTATATATTATTTCAGGTAGGGTTTGAAATTTATTTTGTTTTCATATATTCAGCAATTTTGTTGAAAATGTTTTCTTTTCCTCTTTGCATTGCTTGGTATCTTTATTAAAAATCTATTGATTATGTGTAAGTCTCTTTCTATACAATCTATTGTGTTTCATTGATTTCTTTGTCTATCTTTATGCCAGTGCTATGTTGTATTGATTCTTTTTAGCATTACACAGTCTTGATATTAGGTAGTGCGATTTTTCCAGAATTGTTCTTTTCTCCAAAGATTATTTGATTGTCATAAATCTTTTTCCTATCTATATAAATCATATA